TTTTTTTTTTTTTTTAAGTGACCTCCTCGAAATTGGAAACACCAATCCTGCAACAAGAGCAGTTCCTCCGCACTAAAACAAAGACTCTGAGTCAAAATACATTAGAGTTCTTAGCAACAATATCAACCAACAGGACTCTGATCATCAGCTTGTTCATAAAGACAAGGTGTCTGGCTCAAGGATAGAATCAAGCCAGTGAAATGCATTCAAAACTGAGAGGGCAAACTAAGTGCCTTAGATTCCTTTTGCTTCGACCAAAGTTAATGCTCTCTGTCTACGACTGCCTATAAAATAGAAAGTGTTTGCTATCTTTACTCTGGAGTGCTTGTTAGTTTTCCATAAGAAGTCCTACATTCAGCATTCATTAGCCTGATCTGTCTTCTTAGGACGATTGACCGTCCTGGTTATGCTTTGTTGAGCTTGGTACTAGGACTATGCGACATTCGTTTACTATCCTTACTCCTCCCTTGCTTAGTTACTTAGGCTTCGATCATCCTGCTTCCTTACCCTCCCTTCTCCCTCTCCATCTTCTGCTAACCTCTTCCTTTTGCTTCTTTTTTAACCTCTTCCCTTCTTGATCTCGTTTCCTCCTCCCTCCTTCACTTTTCGTCCTCCTTTTTCATCTTTTTTTTTTTTTTTTTTTTTTAGCCAATAGCAATATGACTTCCCTGGCTCTGCCCTGGCAACATAGCTGAGACTGACTTATTCAAAATCTTCTTCAACCATTCCTCTGGTCCCAGGGAAAGCCAGGTTTCCAACTCAACGACCATGGTTCCCATATCCGAAAGACCAGCTAGCGCCTCCTGCAACACATGTACCATAGAAGCGTGGTATTTCTCAGAAGCTTCGAGATTGGAAAAGCGGGCCGACGTGGCCTCGATCCCGGCAGTATCCATTACAGGATATCGCATCTCTCTTTCCGTTGCAGATGTCGAATCGGCCAGAGTAAGTCCTATGTTCAGGAACGCAATCTTTCTGAAGTCCCTGGTTTCCTTATAGCACTGGGCATCAAAGCCTCAATCATCTTTATGAAGTTCCTGGGGAGCTGATCCAGTGGAGTCATAGTCGACGCGTCCTTCGAGTAGCGCACAAAAGTGCGCGCCCAGTTTGAGTGGCGCAGGGTAGCTGCCCACTGCACTTCTGCGCATTTACTACCCAGAAGGCCACTTCATACCTCTTTCCTGACATCAAAACATAACGGATTGCTATCCCATGAAGGTAGGATGCTAATCGGCCAATGTGTAGAGGTGGTGGTAGTGTGCGATCGTCATTGGTGACCGCAAAGACAGCTCCCCAGTTCACCCATTGTAGCAAGCTAGCTGATATGCATTTAACCTTCACGAGCTCGATGGTGAAAGACCTTGCCTCCTTTATGCAGCACATCTCTTCCACGAGTTTTGTTGCATGACGTACACTAAAGTTGAATCCCTCCGCTTAAAATGGGTGAGATTCCACCAAAAAGAATTGCGCTCGGAGTATTATCAGGATTTACGAGAGGTTGTGCAACAAAATCAGCGTGGTGAGGGTGTTGGGACAAAAATGGTTTTACCGTCAACGCTCACTGAGGAACCCTGATATATGAGTGAAAGATATCACGAGAGCATGACAATTGTTAGGCGATTCGAAAAACCGGATTTTTTCATCACTATGACGTGCAACACTAACTAGCCGGAGATCAAACAAGCCCCGTTGTCAGGTCAAACGACAGGCCGGATCTTCTTGCGCGAGTGTTCAAAGGTTATCTTGCACAGCTGATTGATGAGATAAAGAACAAACGAATCTTTGGTAGGGTGAGTGGAATATTGTATGTGGTGGAGTTTCAAAAAAGGGATCTACCACACGCACATATTTTGCTTATCCTGCATCCGGATGATAAAATTCGGGATGCGGATGCTGTTGACAATGTGGTGTGTGTCGAGATTCCTTCGGAAGGGGAATTGCAAGAAAGGGTAGTTAAGTTCATGTTGCACGGGATTTGCAGTGCGGAGAAACGCGACGCTTCGTGTACGGAGAACGGAGAATGCACAAAAGGGTTTCCGAAAGATTTCATTTCAACAACAACATTCAAAGACGAACAAACGTACCCTTCGTATAGGAGAAGGAAAATTCAAGTGACGGTGGTTTTACGATTGTTCAAAATGATGTCGTTTACGACAATCGGCGGGTGGTCCCGTATAACCCGTACTTCCTAATGATGTTTAATTGCCACTTGAATGTTGAATATTCT